CTCTATATGTTAGTGAAATGAGGATCTACTACGTTATCACCAACAGCAAATCCTCTTTGAAGTCTTCCTCAATGTCTTAATATCCGTTCAAATCATTGGTTGAATGAATAACAGATTTCATGATGGTGTTCATTCACTCATCTTGTTCTGATCATTACGTTAACCTGTTCGGTTTCAGAGGGAAGGGATCGGTGTCGGAACATCGAGGAGCGGAAGAAGGATTTTGGGTGGTGGTCGTTTGCGCTGATTTGAGTGTGTGTGTTTTTGTTTGTGAGGTGTGATTTTGTGTTGTGAGTGAGGTTTTGAGTGAGTGAGAGTGTGGTTTGATTGGTTTTATTTTTGAGTGTTTTGTTTATTTGTGAGTGTTTTGTTTATTTGTGAGTGTTTGAGTGGTTTTGAGTGTTTTAGTGTGTTTTGATTTTTATTGTTTGTTTGTTTCTTTTGTGTGTGTGTGTGTTTTTGAGTGTTTTTAATTGTTTTTTTGTTAATTGAAAAAAAAGTGAAATGGAAGGCCGATGTGGTAATAAGCGGAGGCATGAGGCGGAAAATGACCCAAGGCTGGCCCCCTTCGGGGGTTTTCTGCGAGCCAGGGGGGTTGAGGGTATACCATGTGCCAGCCTGCTTCAGGTACTGGCAATATTCGCGGTAATACCGCCGCCAAGCCGGTTAGCTCACTACCTAACCGAAAAATGGGCTAACATCGAAAAGTATCTGAGCAACGTCAGATCATCGGCAATACGTAAGTGTTAGAATTCTCAATCGTTATCACTATTATCATTTGTTGATAACATAACTTGAAATTACACTTGAATGACACTGCATTGCTTACCTGGATATCGCTTAGGAATCTGAGCAACTGAGTTGAGCAATTGACTTCCATCGCTATGTTCTCTTGCTGTAATTCATCAAATAATTTCTGATTATTTCAGTAACCGCGGCTAACAATGAACGTGATGATGACGACTTAATTGAAGCATTGTGCCGAATGCGAGGCATAATGCTTTTGGTGCACCCGCTCAACACGGGTGCACCAATAAGGATATACGGACAGAGCCGCCTGGTTTTAGAGGCGGCAGAATGGAACGGAACGTACGCGGCACTAAACCATCAAACTGTACGCATTCAGAATTGTAGACTTTTAATTGTTTACGAATATTGTCGGCTGAATTCCAGCTTGAAATTGACTCAAAAAATGCAGCAAGCTCCCAGTGCTGTCGAATTTAATATAACAGACTGAATCATTTCGAAATGATTGTTATGTATCATAAGACGATAAGAAATGAAGATGATGATAAGAAACAAACTTGTTACAGTGCGATCGTGATAATCGTTACAATGATTCTGACAATCATTTTCAGAACATCGAATCCGGTCCATCTGCCGCTAAAAAACAAAAAACACTAACACAGCAAAGTCCAGCTGACTTCTCACATGTAAGTGAATCAAATGAAAAACATTCAATTAACATTTTGATGACACATTTTGAATCATTAGCACAAAATTTCGAATGCAATTGTGCGACCTAATATTGTGAAACGTTCTCGAAAATATGGCGTATCTCCTTGAAGCATTCAAAAAATCTTGATTTTCGACGATACGAAATAGAGGAA